CCCCCCCCCCCCCGCGGGTTCAACTCCCCCCTGGGACGCTTCCGGTACGTGCTATAGTGCTATGTTTAGGTGGCAGGTGAAGTAGGCCACTGTTTGAGTTTGGAAGGGGGGGCATGAAACATGAAATTTACGCGAGGGTTCAAGGCTTCAATGATGAGCAACACGGGAAGTCAGAAACCAGGCGTATCAGATACACGTGCCTTTGAGCTTCCTTCGGCATCTCAGTGCATATGGCTGACACTTCACTCGACAAAGATGCTCAAACAAACATACATAAGCCAGGTGTATCTGATACGCCTGGTTTGTGACTTCCCGTGATGCTCATGATGCTGCGTTGCTTTTCTTCAGTCCCTCATTACATATACATGACGATCCAACAGCAGATTCAACAAGCTCACATGTTCATGACATCGACATCGATAGAAGAAACCAAACAAATCATGCAAGCAGCTTTGTTTTGCCTCTGGGACACCTCTTGGGCACCTCTTATGGCATCCACACTGGTTCAACTCCTCCGTGGAGGTTTTGGGATACAGCGCAACAGATTCAACAAGCTCACAGGTTCGTGAACACATCGGATGCATCGAACAGTGTGGCAAAGTCCAGCCACGCTTCCTTAATTATCGGGGACTTCAATTCTAAGGTTGGCTGTGTCATTGCTGTTTGTGTGTCTTACATGTTCACAACCTCATGAGCATTTGCCTCACTCCGCTTGATGTCCCACCAGTCCGGATGCACCCCTGCTAGCTTTCGTCACCTACCCTCGGCCTCAAGTTTGTTTGTTTGTTTTTGGATTGCTTTGGTGTATTTTTTCCCGTGCAATCCGGCAAATGCTGTAAACATCTACTGATCTACTACAACGGAAGAACAAGTGGAAGAACACATGCTTGGTGTCGACAGTTTTCTTGAATGAAACAAACATGTATATATACAATATGATATCTATATATATATATAGTATAAATCTGTTTGATACATGTTGCACTGCTTGATTTTTGCGATCCCCCTTCAGGTCCCACGTTGCCGAATCATTTCAGTCATTGTCCCATCCAGGATGGACTTCAGGCACCCGCGCTCCTCGAACCCGTTCGGAAGAAACTGCGTGGTTCGTGCGACGCGGGAACTGCCGCCGCCGCCGGAGAGTTGTGCGGGAAACGCACTGGTTGGGGTGGTCTGTGTTTCTGATCACATCGCACGGAATGATGGAGTTGCGTGATGACACTGTCGAACATGTCAATCACTGAATCACACACATGCACACATGCAGCACACCAAAACACCTTCCGTGTTTTCACATTGTTTCAATGGCACATGGCTCCATATGGCCATGCTGGCCTACTCTTCAGCAACTTTTTCTGGGCGTTTCTAGACCGTAAGCCTTGACGGCGGGCCTTTGTGATGCCACAGTCTTGCGAAGTATGGCCTTTGGTTTTGGAGAATTGAAGTAGGGAGTTACCAAGCAGATGAGTTGTTTTTTTGGTTTTCTTCGGCCGCACATGGCTGTTGAATTTGTGTGAATAGAACGATTTACATTGAGATGTGGAGAGAGAGA